TTCAGCTCCTAACTAAAAAATAATATTGCTTAATTCTGATTGGGTTGGCTTGACTTAAATTAATATTAATTTCATAAAAGAACTAATTAGGTAAGAAAAATTTCTCGGTTGATCCGAACAGTCCATTTTGAACAGTAATATAGAAGGACTATTTCGATTTGACAATATTTTTATATAAATAATATAATCCATAATAGTCAAAAAGTGCATATCATTTGACTTTCAATCTATGTTTTAATATCTTTTTAATTTAACTCAAATATATACTTTATTAATGTTAGATATTGTTTTGGTTTGGAAGAAGATAGCTTATCTTATTTAAATATAGTTATCTAGAAGCTTCTTAAATACTAAAATATTGAGTTAGAATGACTTACGTACCTCTTTTGGGCATCTAAACCTTAACAAATCTTATCAAGTGATGGCTTCGATTGCCCTCTCAATAACGTTAGGCTCGTTTTCATTCACTAATAACACATACAATTATTATTTGTCAATAAAGTTGATGCTCATCATCGTCAATAACGGCACTATCATTGCCACAAATATTAATGCCCCAGGTCACTATTAATGTTAACGTCCATCGTCACTAACATCATTGAAGGTCATCATCGCCAATAACTTTGACACCTAATTTTATGTAGTCGTTAATGTTGACAGTTACCGTAACCAATAAGGCTAATGCCATCATCACCAACATACATACATCCTAGTAGCCATTAATACATATGTCATCGTCATCTTATTTGTGGAGATTCAATAACCAGAAAAGAGAAAACAGAGACAATGAAAACAAAAATGTAATATAGTATATCTTTGAACTGATGTATATGAAGCCTATATATAGATAGTATCCTAAGGGTATTAACACGCATCAGACTCTTATAGGACAGAAATAATACAAGTTAATTAAGTTTAGTTATTTCTATTCTAATAACCCCCCCGCAAACTGATGAATCTTGAGTGTATACGAATATCCCATGAATATGCATGATGATGATTTTGGATGAAGTTTTGTGCGTCTAGGATTAAGATTTAACGAGAAACATTCGCAGCCGAAGGTTCTCATATGCTCATAGGAGGGTGTCATGTTGAACATTAGCTGCAAGGGAGAAACAAAGTTTGTGTTAGGCGATGGAAGTCTGTTAATATGATATGTGGCTGTAGAAACTGCATCAGCCTAGTAGTTATGGGGCATGGAAGCCGTTCTTAGCAAGGTTTGTGCTGTTTCCATGATATGGCAGTGCCTTCTTTAAACTATCCTATTTTGCACCGGAGTGTATGGGCAGGATATTTGATGAAGTATGCCCTTCGCTTGTGTAAACAATTTGAATTGGTTGTTTATGTATTTGCGACCACCATCAGTGCGAACAGATTTAACTTGCTTGTTAGTTTGTTGTTCAACAAAAGAAATAAAATCGATAAATGTTTTAGCAACATCTAATTTAAACATAAAAGGAAACAACCACGTGAAACGAGAAAAATCATCAACAAATATCACATAATAGTGAAAGCCCTAATGAGAGGAAACCGGCGATGGTCCCCAAACATCAGAATGTATGAGTTCAAGAGTATTTTGTTTTCTATTTGCAGAGTTGTAAAAGGTAATTTGTAACTTTTACAAGTATTACAAGAAACACAGCTAGACAATAGTTTGGCTATATGCAGCTCGGAGTGTCTATGGGAGATTGTGCGAAGAACTTTGGGATGAGGATGACCGAGGCGGTTGTGCCAGTCTTGCGGAGTGATATGAGTAGCGTATAGAGCGATCTTCCTGTTGTTTTTGTTCTTGTAGGAGATACAGTACAGCACGTCCCTACTATGACCTTTGAGAAGCTGTTTGTTGGTCAGAAGATCCTTAAATACAAAGCCGTTAGAATCGAAGGTAATAGAAATGTGATTATCTTTAACCAAATTAGAAATGGACCGAATATTATGAGATATAGACGGTATATGCAATATTTGAGAAAGATTAATCTTATGAGTCTGGGTGGGAAGGATACCTGTGCCCGAGTGAGCTATGGGGATCGCTCTTCCATCCCCTATGGTGATAGTGTCAGTTCCATGATAGTATTTGACGTTGTCAAGATTGTCTATCATATTCATCATGTGAGATGAAGCTCCTGAATCGAGGTACCAATCGTTGGATGAGACTTCGTTCGTAGCAAGAAGAGCAGTGTTGGTCTTGGATGCGGTAGTCGTGGGAGTATAGTTTTTGTTTAGCATGTGCCAACAGACATCGGCAGCATGTCCTTTCTTCATACAGATTTGGCAGACGAGAGTGGAGATGGAGCTCGATCTAGATGTTGGATTTCCGTTCTAGTAGGTTTGTCCATGTCCGCGTCTTTCATGAGCCCTATTCGTATATAATGCATTTTGATTGTCCGCCTGAATAGGGTGTTTTGAGGCATCTGTTTGAATGTGAATTTCTTCACTGATAAGTAGAGCATAGAGATTGTCTAGGCTCAGAGGAGTTTGCATTGTGCGAATAGAAGTTTTAAACGATTGATATGTTGGAGGAAGCCCATTTAAGATGTGATAAATAATGTCCTCAGTGTTAAGTTTGACATCGGCATAAGCGATTTGATCAACCAATTTCTTGATCTCAGTGAGATAATGGATCATGGAGAGATTCTTCATGGATATGTTGTGGAGCTCGTTCTTGAGCTAGATCGCCTTAGATCGATTCGTGGACTGAAACCACAGTTGAAGTGCCTTCCAGATCTCTGACGTGGACTCAAGATGCACAACATACAGAAGGATTTGCGGCGAGATTGTGTAGTTGATTGCTGCATTAAGATTCTGGTCAGTGACCAGCCATTTGGTGCGGGTGAAGTTAGGATCGTCATTTTCAGATTCTTGACTGAGCGAAAAGGATGCATAGGTTGAAGACGGATCTAGAAAATTTTTGAAGCCATTCGCCTTGAGTAGTTTGGCGATTTGATTGCTCCAGATCGGATAGTTGTCCGATGTGAGAGGATGGGGAACGAGAGATTTTAAGCTAGATACCACAAATTTGAGAGACTTGAGTGATGAGGGATTTGTCGGAAAGATCACCTGAGGCATTGCTGGTGTTGGAGGAGGCCAATGCCACACTCGCCATGGACGGTCCTTAGGAAGGAATGAATCTTGATACCATGTGGAGATTCAAGAACCAGAAAAGAGAAAACATAGATGAGGAAAACATAAACGTAATATAGTATATCTTTGAACTGATGTACATAAAGCCTATATATAGATAGTATCCTGAGGGTATTAACACATGTCAGACTCTTATAGGACATAAATAATACAAGTTAATTAATTAAGTTTAGTTATTTATGTTCTAATATTATTTTTAATCACAACAAACTAAAGTCACAGCTTATATCACTACCATGACAATTCATTATCGCTACTAATACTAATGTCAATTGCCACTATCAATATTTACACTCTCAATTACTAGCACTAACACCTGCCATTACAATCAAAGCCAATGCTCACATTCTTTGTTGTTGGTCTCCAACATATAAGGAGAATTAACAAGCAAAAAATGTCAATTAACTCTTAATCAAAACTTCAAGCCTCAATGCTCCTTTTCATTCTATCATATATGTCATATTTATATGACATTAATATTTTCTCACAAATAAATGCATCATTTATAATGAATATATGACTCGCAATAATATAATTATTTCAAACATAATAATTGAGTTGTTCAAATTATTTATTACATAAGTCACGAAGAATTTTAGTACTAAATCTATAATTCTTTTTATGATTATAAATATTCAAACACATAATAATAATGATAGCAATATAACATACAAATTAAAGAGGACAAGCACACTATTATAATCAAGATGAAAATAAATATTTAATATATAAATCTATTTCATAAATAATATATTAATGCACAAAACAATGTAAGGCCAACTTATTAACCATTATTATACAATAACCCATATTAGAATTAAAAGCCAATAATTTGAGTCAAAATTCAAGAAATTGCGACGTCACACATTCACACCTTGATCTTTACAATGGAAGAGTGCCCCATCCTCTCCTCCAACGGCTACTTTTTCTCACCTCCATCCAACGTGGCGTCTCGGCTTCCAAAGGTTTCTCTGCCCGTTGCCTACCCCTTTTCTTTAATCCTTTTAATAATTTAATATCCTACATAGATTCAGGAAAACCAAATTTTCATTTTGCTCTCCTTTACAGAACACAAATGCCATAACGCACCAATCATTCTCAGTTTACTAGCCATCCGTCAGAATACAAACTGTCCATATCGCTGTTTCCTGCTAGTTTCAAACAGCTGATTAGAAACTTCCAACGGACGAGAGAAAGGTAAAATCCAGGCTCCATAATAATGAAAAAAAAATTGAGCGAGAATAAAAAAATGGATAGAGCATTCAATATCCTCATAAAATTTTAGTTAAGGTGAAACTAAAATTTATTTTATGATAATATCATATTTAGATAACTAATAATATATTTATTTTAAAAAAAATTATAAATTATTAGATTCATTAATATTAGTTTTTGATCAAAATGTTCTACTAAATAATTTTACAATGTGATATTTAAATTTAATTTTGATTATAATAGCCTTAAAATTTAATAAGAATAATTTTATTTTATTTAAATGATAAATAAATATTTATTTTTTGTAGATAAATTTAAAAAAAATATATATCAATGCATAATAAAATAGTAAAATATTTTTATGCAATTAAAAAAAATTATTTGGCACATGATAATAATGATATTTGACCTAATGTTTTCATATATAATTCCACTCCTTTTCCTATCGCACACGCTCCTCACACAGCTTTGACTGCGGATGTTCCACTTCTCCTCGATCGTAGTTTAACAACCGTGTGGCACACGCATCAAGCAAGTCTCACGAATCTTGACTCTTTCAGAGCTCCAGTAGAATGATTTTACACCATTTAAAAAGGTTCCAGAGGAACAATGGAACATAAGCCGTGCCATATAAAAGACGTGGCGTCAAAGGCATCAAGGCAGAAAAAAAACGGAAGGAAGACGAAGAAGGCAAAGAGCAGAGAAAGTTCCGGCCAACCATGTCTTGCTCCGTTGCGATCTCGAGCTCTCCGGTATTCTCACCTTCTATGATTTCCCACACCTGCAAGACTTCGCCGGAAAGCTTAACTCTCGGTCTTACCCAGCACCACCTCTCAACATCGGCGGCGACCGATGGGTCACCATCGACGGTCCGCAGGTTCCACAGAGTGCCTAGTTGCCTTCGGATGTGCAAGAACGAGATCTCGGCATCATCTTCTCCTGGATTAGATTCATCAGGCGTTTCCCCCTCGTCTTCTAGCTCGGCGTCGCCATGTTTTTCATCGACCCTGGCTTCGAGTTCGTGCGGATCTGCTACGTTTACTAAGCGGAAGAGGCCCGCTCGGCTTGATATTCCGATTCTGGGCTCGGTGGCTTTCGAGCAACCGCCTGGGTCGGAGGGGAAACAGGAGGTTGAGGAGGAGAGCGATCGGTACTCGGTTTATTGTAAAAGGGGAAGGAAGAGGGTCGAGTTGGAGGATCGCCATAGCGCTGCCCTCGATCTCCGCGGAGATCCCCAAATGGTACTATTCCACCTTTCTAATATTTTGCCGATTTACGTCTTTCTGTTCTGCGATTGATGAGGTTTTGTGTTATGTAGGCATTCTTCGGTATTTTTGACGGCCACGGTGGCTCAAAGGCAGCTGAATATGTTTCGAAAAGTATTGGGGAACGGATATTGGAGGAGGTGGCGATGAGTAGAGAAGAAGCGGAGATAGAGGTGGAAGAGGCTGTGAGGAATGGGTATCTGAAGACCGACGTTGAGTTCCTGAAGGAGGATGTGGGGGGAGGAACTTGCTGCGTTACGGCCTTTGTAAAGAAGGGCGAGCTCATTGTTTCTAATGCGGGTGATTGTCGTGCTGTTATGAGCGTCTCCGGGATGGCTGAGGCCCTGACCTCTGATCACCGGCCCTCTAGAGATGACGAGAGGGATAGAATTGAGAGCCTTGTAAGTCTACATTGTTATATTTCCTTTTATTTAGGAAGTTCTTAAGCTTTAACTCATATATTTGATGTTGGATAATACTTTGTGCATGTAATTCCATATTCTCACATCATATCATTATTTGCCAACTAATAAGGCTCAACTAAGTTTGCTAAATCATCCACTCTCCCTAGCAAATGGTTAGAGAAGAAAAGCTGAGTTTTTAATGATTTTAGTTTATTTTTTTGTGTTTTTTCTCTTTAGATTTCAGATGTAGAGAAAAAAATAATGTTTATAATGCTTCCATTTGATGTTTGTGTGTTTCTTTTTAGTTTTTAACTGCATTGTTATACTTTTGTTCATAACCTTTGCTTCTCCTTTTTTATGTTGGATGATACTCTATGATATTCCAGTCTTCCCAGCACTGAATAATGTTTTCTTCCAAATGGCTAGAGTAAAAATATGAATTTTAAATGCTTTCAGTTTATTTTTGTGTTATTTTTTAATATTTCCAATGATTTATGACCTAATTTGTTGAAAATCCTGGTGATAAAAAACAAACTCACAATTTTATATTTCTTTATGCAGGGTGGCTATGTAGATTGCTGCAGAGGTGTTTGGAGATTGCAAGGTTCCCTAGCTGTCTCCAGAGGAATTGGAGATTCCCATCTGAAGCAATGGGTGATTCCTAATCCAGAGACTAGAATTATTCGGATTGAATCTGATTCTGAATTTTTAATTCTTGCTTCTGATGGTCTTTGGGATAAGGTGAGAGGACTTCTATTTAATCAAATTCTTGATTTTTTTAGTTGTTTTAGTTGGTCATGTTTACATATTTACATTCGCTTTTAACTCTCTCAGGTTGGTAATCAGGAGGCAATAGACATGGCTCGTCCCCTTTGCATGGACTCTAAGAAGCCATCACCTCTTTCTGCATGTAAAAAACTTGTGGAGCTTTCTATTTCTAGGGGATCAATGGATGATATTAGTGTTATGATAATTCAGCTGGGCCATTTTTTTCAGACTAAGGTGAATTAGAATCTGAAGGAGCTAAAGATTTTTCATTCTTTTGAGTGAAATTGTAATGAAATGGTAGAACAGGAGGAGGGATTGGTTAGAGTTTCTGTTTCTCAATTTCCTGTTTTACATTGTTTTAACTATAACCACCAGAGGTCATTATTCTGCCTTGAATTAGTTGATTCTTTTAGGGAGACAAACTTGCTCTGGAATAGAACATATGGTAATGGAGACTGTTTATCTTGCATTTACTAATTTGTTTAGATGAAACTGTCAGCCTTTGTACATATCAATTAGCTTGTTAGTATGTATTGTATATCAAATAGGTGCCTTTTGTACATATCAATTGGCTTGGTAGTATGATATGGATGTTTAGTTTTTATTTGGAATAGAACATATGAAAAATTTGTATCTTAACTTGTGTGCTAAATTTGGGAATGATTAGTCTTATCAATCAAATTATTTTGTGACATGTTGCACTCTTTTAAAAAAATTGATACAAAAATTCATTATCACATTATTGTTTTATTATATGATCCAATTAAAATATTTGACGCACAAAAGAGTATGATGCTTTCCCTATTTTAATTAGCCATCCTACCCACTCCCCGTTGCTCTCAACCCATAGTCATCTTGCTTGGATTAATTAAGCTACATTTATGATAGCTTTTAGTCACTGCTTTTTCACCACTTTCAAAAAAAATTTGTACTAAAAAGCTATTGCGGAAAGCAGTAAGAAACTATCTCAAATGAAGCCTATGCCATAATGTAAGCTCGAACACACTTCCTATACCCTAAAATCTACTTGGTGGTTGCCAGAGTTATATAAGTCTCTTTAAGGTTACTTCTCATCAAGGCGTACATTATAATAGCTAGTCAATTTGTTGAGTTATATAAGTCCCTAAAATATATTCTTGTATGGAGCTCAGCATACTGAATTTACAAACTCCACAAAGTAGGCTTCCCACAAGCTTGGCTATGAGGTACTAGCTACTAGTCAATTAAAAAAACTTGCCGAGGGAATTCATCCTATAAAACTCGTTCGACAAACTTGCTCCAAACTTCAAACTCGTTAGAAGACACCCAAATTGTGGGTATCTATAAGTTAGCTGGATTCATGTGACAAACTATGACATTACATGTACCATCTACTAGTTAAGGCTACAAATATCTAAATCCCTATCAATGTCAAACTCATTATCTATCAGTGGAAAACATTCCATGAAAATATCTTTTCTTGACCTCATCTACTACCAAAAAACTTGGACATGCCTTCACAAATTTAGCAACCACCATTACAATTATTAGCCTCTCCTACTCTGCATTCCCATGCTACTACTTCCTCACCTAGTCCATTTCCCAATAATAAAGTAATTATTAAATGTAAAATTAAGTTCTATTTTTAATAAATAAATCAATTTAAACCTAAAATTCAGCATCAAAATGACAAACCCTTAATATAAGATAGTTTTGTTTAGACATTGTGGTATGTACTTAGTACATCTTCATTTGACCTCAATTTTTAATCTTTTTTCAAGTTCCCATTAAAGAATATGATTTAACATACTTGAAAACTTTCCCATTCAAAAGTATTTATCATGATGTAAATGGAGAGTAATTTGTTTTATTAAGCATAAAGAATATGATTTAACATCTTTAATTGAGAGAATTCTTAGTGAATAACTTCTAAGAGACCCTACAAAAATTGAAATTTGTTTGATCTACAATATCATATAGAGGAAATCTATGAGCCGCATACATTAAACTTGAAATTTCAATATCTCCAATATATTTTCTTTATAAATAAATAAAAGTCTAATTTTAGTTCTACTACGGTTCATCATAGGTACCATGATTCTATTAGTACACATTTATATTATATCTTAAAATTAATCTAATTTATTCATTCGCAAGAAGTCTTTAATCTATTAATCTTAAGAAAAATAGTCAAGTGCTTAAGTACTTTTTAGAAAATTACTTATTAGGAAGTATGAATTTTAATAAATTTTTTTAGTTATTACTTAAATTTGTTATTTTCTCAAATTATGTACTATTAATAAAATAAATTTTTATTTTTTTCTTATTTTTAATATTTAAGATTACATTCCAAACAAATATGAGATATTATTTAATTAATATCTAATAAATGCAATAGAAAAATCAAATAGCAAATAGTAATAATCAACATAACAAATGGAACAACACAAAACTTTTATGATAATCCCCCCTAAACTAACATAAAAATCAAAACAATTTTTTATTTTAAATATAATAAAATGTAACAACACTTCCCTAATTTTTTTCTTCTTCTTCTTTTATGCTGCTAGTGATACGTGGTCTTCAGCTTTCTAACTCGTGCGGTGATCACATTCAGAGCCAGGGGCTGCCCGAGGCTCACATGTAGTGCTTCCCCGTTAATTTGTAATTGAAATCAATCACTGAAAAGAGTGAAATTTAGTAAACTATAAACAAACCAAGCATAAAAATTTGGGGCTTCTTTCTTTGTTATTCAGGATTAATTGGGTGATAGGGAGAATAACCTAGTTGGATAGCTGAGCGGTGCGGCGCCGGAGCTTGAACTAATCTATGGAGAAAGATTTAAGCCAGCACTTGAGCGTGTACTCAAGAGCTTGGTTAATAATCGATTCCATCCCATCTTAGCTTGACCTTGAATGGACGAGAAGTTGTGGGGGTTTCCGAGCAAGGGAGAAAAAGAACCGAGGGCGCTGTGGCTTGTGCGCAAAGAAGAAGAGGATTTTGAAAGAAACCAAGCGGCGAAAGAAACAGAGAGGGAGACCCGAGAGCGAGCATAGAAGAGATGTAAAGTAGTTTTATTAGAATATGAAAACGAATACATAAATGAGCTAAAGGCGTTGTATTTATAGATTTACAAATGGCAAAAAGAGTAAAATATGACTTCTCATACTGTGCTCGTTTACAGCCTCCCTCAAACTAAGCGTTCAAGGATTAAATGGTTAGTTTGCGTCGAAGCTCATGAAAACGAGTAGGGGAGAAGTGTTTGGTAAGAATATCAGCTGCTTGATCGGCGGACGGGATGTGTTTGATGGTGATAGCTCCGGAGCTTATGTGTTGGCGCACGAATTGGTAGTCAATCTCGATGTGTTTGGTTCGTGCTTGGAAGACGGGGTTCTTGGCGAGGGCAATGGCCGAGGTGTTGTCGCAATGGATAGTGGTCGGGTCGGCTTGAGGGAGATCCAGTTCTGCAAGAAGACGTCAGAGCCAAATGACATCGGATGTTGCGGCGGAGAGCGAACGATACTCAGCCTCAGCTGAAGATTTTGCCACTGTGACTTGCTTCTTGACCAACCACGAGATCAAGTTTGGCCCCAAAAACTGCAGTAGCCGGAGATGGACTTCCGGTCGGATGCATCTGACGCCCAATCTGCGTCCGTGTAAGTCCGAAGAGTCAGTTCGCCTGTGGTGATGGGTAGTCCGAAGCTTAGTGTGCCTTTGATGTACCGTAGCAGTTGCTTGAGGGATTGAAAGTCTTCAACTGTAGGTTGGTGCATATGTTGGCAGACCTGATTGGTGGTGAACGCGATGTCCGGACGGGTAATAGAGAGGAATTGTAGAGACCCAGCAAGACGGCGGTAGAGTGTTGGATCGTCGAACAACTGACTGTTGGCCTCCGAGTTTTTGATTTTAGGAGAGGTAGGTGTGCTTGTTGGTTTGCTATCCGCTAAGCCTGAATCCTCCAGTAGTTTTTGCGTGTAGTGTTGTTGAGAGAGGAAGAGACCGGAGGGCCGCCGGATTACCTGAATTTTGAGGAATAGTGATATCGGACCGAGCTGACGAAGATCGAACTACATTTTGAGCTTGTTGAGGAGATTTTGAATTGCGTCTTGATTGTTACCTGTCATGATAATGTCATCCACATAGATTAGTAGAAAAATTTGAATATCTTCTTCTTGGAAGAGAAGAAGGGAGGGATCAGAACGACTGAACCTGAATCCTTGATTCTGAAGGTAGCGGATGAATTTTTCGACCCATTTGCGAGGCACCTGTTTGAGACCGTACAAGGACTTGTTAAGTTTGTAGACGAAGGATGGATGCGTGTTATCCTCGAAGCCTCGCGGTTTACACATGTATAGATCTTCAGCTAGATCTCCATGCAGAAACGCATTGGAGATGTCTAATTGGAGAATTGGCCAGTTCCGATTGGTGTTATTGTGAGAAGAATTCATATGGTTGGCATCTTTGCAACCAGGCTAAAGGTTTCATTGTAGTGAATGCCATACTGTTGGTCGTATCCTTGTGCAACCAGACGCGCCTTGTATCGATCGACTTGCCGATTCGGTAGTAGTTTTCTTTTATAGGTCCACTTACATCCTAGAATGGATTGGTGCGGAGGAGTGGGAACAAGAGTCCAAGTTCCTTGACGAATGAGAGCTTGGAATTCGTCTGTCACCGCTTTACGCCAATGTGGGTGTTTTGCGGCTTGGGCGTAGGTGTGCGGCGTGGAGTCGGGAGAGACCGTGCTGACCAAAGATAGTTTCTGTTTGGGTTTAGTGATACCTGACTTGAGTCTCGTCTGCATAGGATGTGAGGGTGGAGCAGGATTTGGATTGAGGTGGGCAGGTTGCGGCACGTTGAGTGGCGATGAATTTGTCTCTTGTATAGCTGGAACATCAAGTGTAGTAGACATGATCTCTACTGGTTGAGTAGTGTTGGAGCTGTGTGTGTGACAGACAGAGTTTGGCACCAGAAGTAGAGGCGGGATGTTAGTTGATTGCGGTAGAGGTGACGGTGCAATGATTTGCTGTTTGAAGGGAAATTGAAGTTCGTTGAATTGAACGTGACGAGAGATGAAGATTTTTCTCGTTTGCAGTTCCAAGCACTTGTAACCTTTTTGAATTGGTGAATACCCAATAAAGACGCATTCCCGGGACATTGGAGATAGTTTGTTGTCTGCGTATGGTCAGAGCCAAGGGAAACACTGGCATCCAAAAATGCGGAGATGGTGATACGTAGGATCCCGACCGTGTAGACGATGGAATGGCGTCTGAAGGTTGATTAAGGACGATGGAAGCCGATCCCGACCGTGTAGACGATGGAATGGCGTCTGAAGGTTGATTAAGGACGATAGAAGCCGATTGATTAGGTAGTTTGCCGTGGCTGCAGCTTTGGCCCAGAGTTTTGCAGGAGAATTGGATTCATGAAGCAGAGTCTTGGTGAGATCGAGCACATGTCTGTGTTTCCTTTCCGCCAGCCCGTTTTGTTCAGGGGTGTGCAGACAGGATAGTTACCAGTGAATACCGTGATTGTTCAAGAATGTAGTGAATTTTGCACTGGTGAACTCGCCTTCTCCGTCGGACCTGAGAGCTTTCGGTGTTCTGTTATGTTGTTTGTTACGCAAGTGACAAAATAGTTTGAATTTAGAAAAAGTTTCATTTTTA